ATATATATATATATATATAATAATATATATATATATATATATAATACGAGAGAGAGAGAGCTTAGTATAACTACAAATAGTATATACATACTGACTGTAAAGCCTATATGCGAAAAAAGAAATATCTTTTCGTACTTCCAACATCACATGAACAGATTCTACCTACAGGTTTCGCAACCGCCGGTGGTTTTGTCTTAGCCGCCGAAAGTTGCGTGTTGAAGTTTCATGTGTTGTAGCTTGTCCTCGTCAGAGCCCGCCCTAAGAAGCCAAAGTATGCGTAAACGTCCCTGGGAGCCAGTCTATAGCCTTGCGTTTGTGTGTATCTCTGTCCTTTAGCGCGTTTAATGCGCAGGCAAATATTGGTTTGTAGTCTCAAGAGCACGAGGTTTTTGTAAGTTTCGGTGAGCCGATAAGACGATTAGGCGACGCACTTTTGGTCTAAAACGAGGTGAACATCACGTAGACGCAAAAAAAGACTTGTTCGGAGACGTTTAACAGTGGTACAGTTTTGGACATTTTCGTAAACCCCAAACGTTCGCTGTGCACTGCCGCTTTTGGAATTGAAATTTAATATGCCCTTATTTTACCGTTTTTTTGGCGAGACACAGGCCCATTATAGGACCCGCCTCCTACTGGCTGTTCTGTACCGACGTCACAACATATATTAACGGGCTACGCTCCTTTTCTCCAAACTAGCTAAGACGGGAGAAATGAAATAACACTTCTCGGTATTTCTGGGGGCGACCAAAACAGGCGATCTTGAATGTAGCTCAGAGGCCCGATCATTTAGTGTTCGAGATCTTTTACATGCAAAGTAAATCTAAATAACATGGGGCCACGACGCTTTGCTTTCGTCCCTCGGAAGGAAGCAGTGTCCGTACGAATGAAGATTTTTCGGCCCTCGATCGGGTTTGAACCCGCCCACTTGGGATACAACAGTCCGAACGCTAACCAAGCGTCTACACCAGATCGCGCAAGATGGGAGGGGTAATCCTATCGTTTCAGGATGCGTTTCAGTTTACTGTCGCGTGTTCAATGTTCCGATCGCGTATTGACGATGGTCGATTTCGAACTCCAGCGACAGTTTAGTTTGAGGGAATTAAGCCCTGACTAGAGGAGGAATTATAACCGGTGCATATCATCGATAGTTTCCCGTGTGTCCTCTCATTAACCACTAGATGAATGTCTCGGAATAGTACCTCACAAAAAACGAAAGCCACTGGACCCGTGCATTATTTTCTTCCATCCTCTTCATTGTCCTATTCTCCTCCCTTTACTCCACACACACTTACATGGCCAGACACTTCCAATAAACAGGCAGAAGTTGCCAGGACCCGTAGAATTGACAGGCTGGGTAGGTGCCCTGATTGGCGGGAGATACCTGCGAGAGCGAAATTTCCTCGCAGGCCTGTATGTATTGGTTTGGAACTGCGATCTTCAACCATACGATGAGAAATAGAAGACAAGCTCGGGATAAGAAAGTGCACATATTTACATTACGGGGACTTATATAGAACCATAAGCCAGTTGGGATGCGCCACAGAAAACCATGAATCAAAATCGGAGAAAACGCCAATATTGCGTGTTACGCCCGTTTTATTTTAACCGTATCCGTAAGTGTTTGAGTTTTATCTGTCTGCCTGAAACAAATTATAATTTCGTTGTTTACATTGTACATAAGTATCTTGTATTAAGGACTTTACAACCCATAAAAAAGCAGATTTTTGTTGCAGACGATCAAACGGTTTTGAAGACGGTAGTTGGTTATCAAGTTAATTTGGTTCTTTCACGTCGATGGGCCGCTGCACACACCCAGGCAGGTTGCTTATTGTATCATTTTGGGCGCAAGCGAAGGGCGTCGCCAGAAGAGTGAAAAGTTGACAGCTGAGTACCCATTGTTTCGTCCTGCAGGAGGTGAACTATTTCAGGCGAAGACCGTGAAACTACAGTCTGCGAAATTTCTCACAATCTATTACCCTTGGAGTCATCCTTTTCTAACAATTACGCCTGTGCGTTTGAGCAATGAAATTTCTTCTTCTGCAGTATAATATTTTCCTCGTTTGTTTTAACATGTAACTATGTATTTACCATGTTATCACTTCGTGTTAATATATCCTCCCTCATTATATTATTATTATTCATTATTTATTATGATATATATTATTATTATGCTACACCTTCACAATGATATGGTAAGTTAAGGAAAACGTTTCGGTCAGAATGCAGAAGTTTTTGGTATATTTCGTCTATGATGTGTACATTAAAATAATGTTGCACAATTGAATATTTTTTTTTAAATTCTACAACAACAGAAACAAGCGTTATTTATATGTTCTAAAATTTCATAATCGACATATATTATCGCCAAATTTTAAATATCAATAGTTACATTGCATTTGTTTTATATATTAATTTATAGCGGAGGTCAAAAAGCTCCTGCAATAATAATATTAATTAATTTTTCATATTAATAATTAGCATTCAGTTTAGCATAAAAAATAATATAATTCTGAAAGCGTTATTTGGGTTTTCTACTTTTAAACTGACAAGTCTATTTCCTTGACCAAGTAATATAATACCAATATCAAATCAGTGGCGTAAGCTCGAATTATTTTGTCCTAGTGAAGGAATGAGTTGTTACCGGCCTGCATAGTCTCTAGTTATAAAGTTTTTATAGCAGCATATTAGTCATAATTAATATTATATAGCAGATAGTCTTCCCCTTCCAGCCCCCACAACTACGTACATATCCAGGACCAACCAACGCAAAAATGTCGTTCCATCACATTAGAACTAGCCATTTTCAATCATAACATTTACCCGTATTCAAATCACCAGATGCATGCATTTCGTTCCCCTGGATATTAAGAATTGCATGTCGAAAACAATTACACGCGACTATCGTCACACCGTCGGCACATAAATAAATCTAAACCATACCACTTTGCAAGCCACGAGTATTAGAAGATACTGTAAGACATTGATCTAAAAACACGTTTCAGCACTTTTTTGGGAGCATTAGTGCAGATAGAAGATTGTGGCGAATTAGGAGGCGAAGAAAATTGCAAAACCAAAACTTAAAAGAAACACAAAAGAAAAAAATCGCTTAGGATACTTAATTCAGATACTTTGCGTAGATTCATGTATTCCATTTTTAGCTGAATCATCAGTCTCTTACAAAGCCTTAGGGATGGATGGGAGGAACTCTTCCCCGAATCTAAGACCCTAAATCAGTGACGTTGCAACCCCACCTGAACCTTCGAAAGTCCTTAGGCAATTGATCTCTATAACACGAGCCAACATTTTCTTTGTGATATTAAGAATAGATGATGTTCGAGTTAGGCCGGTGCGAAAAAAAAAAGAAAAGAAAAGTAAATATCAAGATCAATAATGACAACAACAACAAAAAAAACTGGACTTAGACTATCTATACAAGGCAGATTTAGTATATGCAATTTAAATGAACTCATCTTGATATCTTTTCAAGATTATCATGTCTTTCTATGCAGCCGTAGTTGGCACGGAATCATCCCTTGGAACTAAGACGTCTTGATAAACCCACGGCGGTCTGCTATCTATGAACCTCGCGTTTGAACCATCGACCTATACACCCCACGCCGGGCGATTTGTCCTCTGCGTCGCTGATCTGCTGTATAGAAACTAATATTTGGGTGAAGGAATGATTGGTTTGAGGGGGCGGGAGGAGGAACGAGGAGCGTCGATTCGCTTCGGAGGGCGGCCTGCTAGTGTTTGTTTGCGACGCGAGCGCTGGCGGCAGGAAGAGACGAGAAATGAAAGCAATTGTTCCGCGACGTTGTCAAGTATTCATAGCACGAACGTGAACTTTCGCAGCTCGAGCGCCTCTCCCGGTACTACCGATTGTCCGACTGCGGCCGTTGTTTGTTATTCACTTGTTCTTGCCCCTCCTCGCCCTCCGCCCCTACGTCTTTTCGGTTGATTATTGGCCTCGCGTCCGTCATAATGAGTGCCCACCAGTGAATCTGATTGCAGC